GCTGCTTTGTTTACAGTGGAAACCAAGGAAACGTTTTAAGCGCCACCTGCTGGCAGAGAGTGCATCTGCGTCTCATTCAGCTTTGCTGTTTCATGCAGATATTTTTATTTATAGTTTCACAAAACTGAAGTCAAACCATTGTTTTTGCTTCAAATTTCGAAATTATACAATCTAATTTATATTAAAAATTGCTCATGTTGCATGTATGCAGCATCTTTGTTTGGATCATGATTAAAATGCAGTGGTTGCCTCTAATTTTAAATGGAAAGAGCACAGACAAAGCCTTAGTTTGTTTATATTAAGAGATTTTATTTGTGTTATTTATTTGATTTGGGGCTTGTTTTAAAATTTCAATTTAGTTTTGTTATTTACATTTACATTATATTTAAATGTAGTAATTTAGCAGACACTTTTATCCAAAACGACTTACAAATGAGGACAATAGAAGCAATCAAAACCAACAAAAGAGCAATAATATGCAAGTGCTATATTAGTATATTATTATAGTGTTATATTTCAATTTCACAAAGAAACATGCAGCATTTTGTCCAAGCAAAAATAAAAGGACACATTTAATTTATAATTTGTCTTAAATCTCATTTTGTAAAAAAAAAAAAGTGAATCGAATCGAATCATGAAATCAAAATCGTGATTCTAATCGAATCGTGAGTTGAGTGAATCGTTACATCCATCTAAACACTTTTTGGAGTATAAAATCAGGATGAACAATAAAACAGATCCAAGTCCTAAGCCAAATCTTTTACTGTTATAAAGATCCTGAGAGCACTGAACATCAGTAATTGGTAATGCAGTGCAGTTAAACCTCATTACATTAAGACCAAAATGTCTCATGATATTACCACACTAAGGTCACAGCTCTAAATAAAGATGCAGGTAAGACATTCAAAAGTGTCAAAGAAAGAAATTTAAGATGAAAGGTAAAGGTGGATTTTCTATCCATAATCAATCTGAAAATTTCCAGAATCAGATAAGAATATCTACGATGAGCACAGGAAATTAGCTACTCTATATGCTGCACCACAAAGACCTGTGAACATCTCATCTCACAGGATGTAAACCACAAACAACTCATCCACCCATTAACCATATCTTTACCCTTCCTGCTTAACCAAAACGCATCAAATCTGGGTCTGTGGTATGCAACTGGTTTCATAAACAGTAATGGAATAGATAGGATAAAGATGATATTTCATAAGATATTCTAAAGCATAAGTGTTTTTAAACTGGTGTAGTTCAAAATATAGTAATGAGAAAGCAACAAACACGTTAAAATTGGCAGGCTGACAGTAAAGATTCACAATGCCACCAAGCAATGCCCTCTCGCACTTCTTCTTTCATTACAACATAGTGCTGCAATTCCTCTACTTTAAAAAAAAAGTATGTTTCAACATCCCTACTTTGAAACAAATTCCAAATATAAGAAACATTAAGGAACAATCAAGTCTATTATTTCTTGATTTATGTTTTCATTGTACCAAAGGCTTGGTTATCTGTTGACCATTACCAGCTTTACTTCCTCCAAAGTCATCACACACATAACTTTTATACAAGTTATTATTCTATATAGTTTAAGTTTAGTTATGTTAGTACACCAAGCTAAACTACATGAAAATGAGAAGCATGTCCTTGGTAATTAACTGAAATAAAACAAGTTTAGGTTTATACACACACACACACACCCATATACATATAAATATATGCATATATTATATATTATACATTTTAATTTATATTTTACTTCGGTTAATGTTAATTTTATTTCAAGTAAAGAGTTTTTGTGTTTGTTTTTAACAACTATAATAACCCTGGGATGAACTTTTCTTTTTCATTTTGCCTTTGCATGGCTGTACTGTACTAACTAGAAGATAGATAGATAGATAGATAGATAGACGTTTGAGAGGGATGAACACACAAAATATTACACACAAAGGCATGAAACATTGTCTTGCTGAATCACTGCTTCCCATTGTCTCAGTCAGAGTGCATCCGGTCCAGCCCATAATTGTACCTGACATCTACAGACTAGTACCAGTGACTATATGCAGCACGAACCTGCAGACCTAAAAACGTCAGTGCAGCTCCTCTGACTGACTGTACATCCAAAACCGTTGACGTAAGCTTTCTGTCTGTGCGCAAGGCATACATGGACCACAAACAACTTACTCTTAACAACAAGACGCTCACAACAAAACACACATAAACTGTAACAGCACCACAGGCGGCTTGGTCACTCACCTAAACTTTCACTCGTTCCCGCACGAAGATATTCTGCAAGACGCTTTCACATGGTCTCTTTCTTCGCGTTTCGCTAACAGCTGGAGGAGCGCGCACGGTTATTCTTTTCTTTAAAGCCGGAGGAACGGTGTGTTCAATCTCCGTCTGCGTTGAGTTACATTCGAGACCGCGTGCTTTTGCTTTTGCTCTTTGCTGATTGTGGCATTTCCAGCACGCGCCTCCTCTAAATTGCTACATTGTTGACATTGGGGCGATGACGTCATGGCGATGCGCCCATAGTAAAAGAGGGGGAAAAAATAGCACGAGCCATTCAGCGTTTTCACAAATTTGTGAATCTAACGAACTAACATCTTCACACCTGTAAATTAATCACTATTTGAAGTGTATAAGCGGATCGGAGAATAACGTGCCAATGGTTTCATAGATAATGGGGTTTTGACACCTCATGCAGCATTGACTTAAACCCTCTAGAACACATTAAAAAACATTTTATTTTTTATTAAATTATGTACTATAATTTTAACTTCTTTTGGCTATTTTTAAATATTAACTTAATAAATTAATTGAAAATTAATTAAATGTATTATTCATTAAAATCCCTTTTCCACCTTTTGCAAAAAAAGAAAGCCTGCAGCAACCTATTGTAAGGTTTTCATGTAAATAATGGTTTGTAGTTTATTGTTTATTCAATTATTCACTAAGTTTAATTTACTTATTTTCCTGTATAAATTAATTATAAATTAATTGCATTAATTTTATTAAAACTCATTCAAATCAATTCATTTTAATCCCTTTTCCACCTTTTGCAAGAAAGCAAAACTGTAGCAGTAATCTATTGCAAGTTATTCAAGTAACTAATCATTTTAATTGTGTTGTTTATTAAATTAATTATAATTTTGAATTATTTAATTCTATTTAAATTTAATTTAAATAATTTAATTGCATTAATTTTATTAAAACCTTGTGCAAGAAAGTAAAACTGTAGCAGTAACCTACAGTATATTGTAAGTTATTCATGTTTTAAAACATGAATTAAAAAAGCCTGATAAATTAATATTATGTGTTGGACCACATGCACTCAGTCTGGGACAATAAGTAATATCTAATCGGTTTTATCTAATAACCTTTATTATTATTATTATTATTTTTAACTTCCAAAACCATTAATTACTTTTTTATTTTATTTACTTGTATTCCCTTTTTTTTAAGTGCAATAATAACAGTAGCCTGTATGGTAACAAAAATTGTGAAAATTGGATTGCAACCACATTTCAGGTTATTCATACATTAAAACTGGATAAATCAGGAAAAAACTGATCCAATTTTATAGTGGTTGTATGTATATTTAGATTAGAGCAAGGCCAGAGTAAGCATAACAGCACTTAATCTCACTGTACCCCAAAGGAGCTGGCAAGCAATTATATGAATTATCAGGTTGTCGCAGACAGCTCTTGCTTCTCCTTTGATTCTAATCCAAATGAGCCATAATTTCACTGTTAGGTTCAAAAATAACTGTGACAGATTCTCAAAGGCACAGAGTGGCACTGACATCAAAGTCTTATTTATCAGAGAAAATGGAGACCTTAAGATGCGAAAAATGCCTCAGCTCTGCATCCGTCCTCATAAAGCATCAGTGGAACCTGTCATATTGTGTGTGCATGGTGCACTTTGGAAATTGTTGCTTTCAAGCTTTGAGTCACTGAAGTCATTTCAAACAGCAGGGATTGATGGTCATTTCTGAATTCAGCAGCTCAGTGTTGACAATGGAGTGTATATATGTAGTCTAAATCTACATCCAATAAGCTAGATTTAAAAGTGGAATTGTCTAAAATTTATTATGACTTTTATTTTGAGGTGTGCAGACCTTCATCTTTTTACTTTTACTTAGCCAAATTTATATTTTTAAATTTTATTGATGCCGTCTTGTGGAAATTCACAAGAATGGGTTCCTGATGTATATGCTTATTATGAACATATCGATGTTCAATTCAAGATGCATTCGGAAAACTGCACAAACACATCACTATTATGTGCCTAACGTAGCCTTGTAGTCTTCCAGACTCTTCACTCCCAACCCATTCATTTTAATGCAAACAGTGCCCCCTCATGGCTGCGCATGAAAATGCGACTATTGAAAACGAATTTTAATGAATAAAAATAAGAAACACGCAAAATCTTGTGTGTAGGACTAAAACTACAACGATATATTGCTGTAGGCATTTTTTGTAACATATTATTCTGTATGTGACAATACATGTAAGCTGCAATTGAACTTATATCGCACATATTTATTTTGCTCTCAAGGAAAACGTGAAACTCCGCAGAGGAAATCAAATGTGAACTTAGCTGATGCAAACTGTAACAGACAATGAATGAATGAGGCTATGGATTACTATCAACAGCCGTCTGACAGCTGTCACAGAGGGTTAGTTTTCAGAGTTTACGAACGCTGCTATGAAGAATGCTTGACTCATGAATATTAATCAGGCATCGTCATTGGCCCTTCGCCAAGGAACGTAAACGCTACCTAATTATTATTCATGAGTTCACCCTTCTCCATAGTAGAATTCGTAAATTCACCTCCCTTCCAGTAGAATGCAGTAAAGCTCACTCATATCTACGATTGCCGAATAAACAAGACAGAAGCAAGGGCGGTAATGCACCTTTAAGTTGGTTTGTCAAAACCGCCAATAAACATCAGAAGAAGAAGACAGAAGCAAATACTGGTCACTGATACTTCCGCGTTAGTTTAAAGTGTCAGATATATTCAGTATTCATAAAAAAGATGCGTCACTTGATGTCTGTCAACAGAGGTATGACGCTGCATATTTTTAAAAATGCAATAATTATAAAATCATGTTATTGTTTAATTTCAGTCTCAGGTATACATGTGTCAGTGTTAAATAACTGTGCCATGTGCCTCTTTTCTATGAGATTTTGTGATAACTGTGTTCACTGGTTGCCGTTTTAGCTCTAAAAATATTAATTATTTGTAACAACAATTGTATTGATTTTTTTTAATGGAACACGCGTTGATTATTTTAATACGTTCCATTTAATAGGTAACCATTTAACGTCCATGCACTTGTAATTTATTTAAGTGCTATGTTGAATATTTAAATAGAAAAAAATCAGTATAATGTCCATGCATTTTCAACATACTAATACTGCCTATTTAAATGAATAAAGTGAATTTCACAAATATGCTTTTGGCTAAAATCGATGTAGGATTGACGTACAAATTGATAGAAAAACAATTAAAATTGCCCTTCTATCTTACTGCACGTGCACTTAGTATAAAATGCAGCGTAGGCTAAAGGTTAATGATTAATATAGTAAAAGTAAGTTGTGCAACGAAATGTACAAGCTGCCTTTATATGATCTACTAACGTGTATATTTTTTATTTTATTTATATAAACAAATAATAGTAATTCATGAAAATATATATTATATATAATATATACACGTATATAAAATATATTTATTGAGTGAGTTATTTATTTATTTTACAGCTATTCTAGTAGAAGCTTGAAGATGACGAATGAACCTTGAGGGTTTCAATTAACATATTTGTTCCACCATTGACTGAACATCTTCGGTGGAATGGACTTTAACCAACCTCCAGGGTAATGGCACGGTTTAGGCGGAAATCATGTTGTGCACTTATCGCTTTAGCCTTGGCTGTGTTTATTATAACAGTCATCTTAAAGTCTCTGAGCCCTGAGGATAATAATTTTGGCAGTCAGTTTGCATTAAGACTTATTCCACCTCCAAGACAAATTGAACAAGATAACAACATTGTTGTGTCCGCTAAACCTGCACAGATGATACCAGCAGAGAAAGCTGATAGAATGGAGAACAAAATGCAATATTTTCCTGAGCCAAATTACAATGTACACGCTTTCTACTATGTGTGGTATGGGAACCCGCAGTTTGATGGAAAATATGTTCACTGGGATCATCCACTCTTACCACACTGGGACCCCAAGGTGGCCTCAGGTTATCCGACAGGACGACACCAGCCTCCTGATGACATTGGGGCCAATTTCTACCCTGCACTAGGTCCATACAGCTCCAGAGATCCATCGGTTTTAGAGGAACACATGCGACAGCTGCGAACAGCTGATGTTGGTGAGAATCCTCTTTGAAACTTGGATATTATTTTTCTTTACTGTATTTGCTCCATCTACTGAATATGTTTTGCTTATTTTAGGTGTTCTTGCAGTTTCGTGGTATCCACGTAGTATGAATGACGACAATGGTGAAGAAATTGATAATTTGCTGCCTTTGGTTCTGGATGCAGCTGACAAATATCAATTGAAGGTGGTGTAGATACACTTGGAGGTTTGAAATTCATAGTCTTTGCTTTTGTGTCTCATGCATTTTTTTTATTGTCCCTGACAGGTAGTTTTTCATATTGAACCATACAAAGGACGAGATGATGCAAATATGCGTGAAAATATTAAATATATTGTGGAGCGGTATGTTTGATGCTTTTCATTCAACTCTATTGTCTATTCATACTTACAAAACATAAAAAAGAAATAACACTTTCATTTTCTTAACATTAGTTAAAAGTATTGTGTATCAGCTAACAATGACAATACTTCTACAACATTTATAAATCCAGGTTAATATTAAAGGAATAGTTCACCCAAAAATTTAAATGTACTGAAAATTTACTTACCCCAGGCCATCCATGATGTAGATGCATTTGTTTCTTCATAAGAACAGATTTAGCATTACATCACTTGCTCACCAATGGATCCTCTGCAGTGAATGGGTGCCGTCGGAATGAGATTTCAAACAGCTGATAAAAACATCACAATAATCCACATCTAAATTATCCACATCTAGACTCCAGTTCATCAGTTAACATCTTGTAAAGTGAAAAGTGTGTGTTTGTGAGAAACAAATCCTTTAAAGGATTAGTTCACTTCCAAAATAAAAATTTCCTGATCATTTACTCACCCCCATGTCATCCAAGATCTTCATGTCTTTCTTTCTTCAGTCGCAAAGAAATTAAAGTTTTTGAGGAAAACATTGCAGGATTTTTCTCCATGGACTTCAGTGGTGGCCAATGATTTGAAGGACCAAATTGCAGTTTCAATGCAACTTCAAAGGGCTACATGATCCCAGCCGAGGAATAAGGGTCTTATCTAGCAAAACAATTTTCTTAAAAAATAAAAATGTATGTATTTTTTTTAACCACAATTGCTTGTCTGTGT